TTATTATTATTATTATTATTAGAACAAGCAATCAATTCTTGTGTGTAATTTGTAGACCAATCAGTGCGAATTTGTAAACATTTTGTGCTAAACATCCTTGATTCACTACTATAGTGGACTATGAATTATTTTCCCTATACAGATTGTAAAGACGATTGGATTGCATGCAGCAGTATTAAAGATTATTGCTCGTTTCCGTCATTCAAGTATCGTTTTTGCAAAAAGACATGTGGCGGTTGTAAGTACAGCAATTATTATCTTTAGAAATACACAAGAAACCCTTAGCCAAATGTTGAAAAATATAGGGAAACCACGTTTTCGTTTACAAAGGACAGTCTTTTCTTACTTCGTTGGTTTGCCTTAGTTTTCTTCTTTTCTTTTCTTTTTGCGTGATATTGGTTCCATCAATTCCTGATATGCTGAAGATAAAGAAAAACTGAGAATGATTTACAAGTTACACGTATATTCGTATGGCGGTTTATATCTAGACTGCAAAATACTTTAAAGCTTCTGATATGTATGAATGCGTTTTTTCCACAGGTTAAATCAGGATTACCAAATCCAAGCAAAGCTCCGACTCCGCTGATTCATCATGATTTGACTGTATTTCATTTCGGTAGATTTAATAAAGAAAATACTTAACTTGCAAGTTTGATCTGTTGTCATGTTGCTGTAGTTATTGACGTTGATTTTGTTGTTCATTCCTTTAGTGTTTCCCTCCAACCCTTACCTGAGTGGCCCTTAGCTGAGGGCACCAATCGAAATTCGAAGATTTCAACTGACAGATGCAGCAACAGAGCACGCGCAAATTTGGCTATTATTTTTTATAATTATAAAAGGATACAATTTTGCTCATATTTAAAAAATCAAATATGATATATAATTTGTACTTTAAAAATAGTAAGAATTCTCCTAAGAGTTATATATCCAGCCATTTGATTCGCTTGACTGTTCCACAAATTCATAAGGTCGTTATTTCTTGAAGTACCACTGAAGCCTGACGGTGTTATTGGTAATGTCATAAGTGGACGCGAGGAAAAAAAATTGAAGTGGGCAGAATGAATCAGGTAGCAACACAACTTACTCCCTCCCTGGCATCCTCTTCCATATTTCCTGCAACAAAAGAGGAAAAGCTAAAAGAAACAAGAGCTTGTAGGGTTGGCTAGCTGGATTGATATGAACGGACGGACGAANGCACCGAAGCCTGGAACCAAATGCTATTTAACAGGTTTTTAAAAATCATTTTAATTACTTTATATATAATGTCAAGATAAAGAAATCATCGGCGCTAAAGAAATCAACGAAATAAGAAAACTAGTTATGAAGTGTGCACCACATTCATACGCTATAATATTTTGAACCTTCTTTATCTGGAAAGATATTTTTGCTTAATACCTTTCAACGTTAACGAAGGTATCGAAAAATAATTATTAAACTGATATCTCAAGGAGACAAGCATGATAGCGTTAGACTTGTTTTGAAATCAAATTTATTGCCTTTGAAAATACATTGTACACTTATACTAATTGGAGAGCCACGCTTGGCAGGGTGGGGTCTTCTTTCTGGAGGAGGGGCACAAGCCAACGTTCTACAACAGGGAGAGCTACCTGTAATGTCCCACAAAGACTGTGCAAAGAAGTACACCCGCTATGACAGTGAAGCTCACTTGTGTGCAGGAAAGGGCCTGGAGAGTGGTTCAGGCGGGTGTCAGGGTGATAGCGGTGGTCCGCTTGTTTGTGAAAAAGATGGAACTTGGTATCTGCATGGTGCTGTTAGCTTTGGCAAACGAGGCTGTCCAACGACCGCATATACAGTTTTTACTCGGATCACAACTTACATTCCTTGGATTAACGACCGGATAGGTACAAGTACATACATATACCTTACATATTAAACTTCATTCAGCGAAGACTAAAAGACGAAAATTAAAATCAGTAGTAATTAGGCTGAATTAGATTTCTTAGTTTGCTTTTCACAAATGGATTGATTGTCGACCCTACTAATAATATATATCGCCAGTTCTGTTCCTTACTGCTAGCTCCGTTGAGCAAAGAATGAAACAGCATTGATTGAGTTATGTTTGCTTGTAACTTTATCTCAGTGGAAGGAGGTGGCTCCCCCACGCCACCAGTGCTAGACAAGCCATCGCCACCACCAAGCCCACCCTTACCATCTCCATCAACAGCGCAGCCTGGTAAGTAAAACGCAATGTTATTTACTTTTTAAAAAAATTGGCAACCACTTTCAGACATGCTTCGATGATCCAACGATCATCATCATTTGTGAGTTTGTTTTCAGTGGTGATTTAAATTTATTACAAAAAAAATACATATATGATATCAAATTAACGGATAATGAACTAATGCGCGAAACATGTGACAATACAGTTTCGGAGATCCGACCGAGTGGACTACAATGCAAGGAATAATCGGGCGTGTAATTTTAAAATCCGGCGAGTGCACGGTGCGAGACCGAATTAAAATTAGGAGCACGATTAAGCCTGGTTCACATTAGCGACATAACGATATCGTCACGAACAACATAAAAAGGAAGTTATCTCGACGTAAAAAGGACGTTATGTTTGTAGTGTGAACATGTAGACATAATGACATATTAGCAACAAAACAGCATGAACATAACGACATAAAGATAAAACTGATCTTTTCCTTATTTCGTTATGTCGCTAGTGTGAACCAGGCCTTATTCTCTGAATTGCTCGACAAGAGGTCTAATTTTATTCGAGTTAAAGTCTTTATAAACTTCTTTAGAGCAAAAAAAGGTCAGCAGTATTCCACGAGTATAATATATAGTATGGAAACATTAAGAAGGAAGCCATTGAAGCACACGTAATTGACGTGTAATTAATACAACTAATTGATATAACATTTAAGGCGTTTCTTAGGACAACATATACTCTTTTATTTCCTTTCATTGTTTGTCAATATTTCAATTTAAATTTTTTAATAGAATCTTATAATACTATTAATGAAAATTTTTTAGGTAGACGGTTAATACAGTGTCCCACATGGGCTAAATAGATTGACACTTAAATAAATAGGCACGCAGAAAACCAATCACAATCGAGAGTATTGGTCTGGGTATAATTGATATTAAGGTGGCTCAAAACGGTAATATTTCCATGAGACGCCTGGGCTCTAGCGTGCACTTCAGCACGAGGCATCACGCGATCACCTGAGGGGGTCGCGAGCTAACGCGCGAGATTAAAGTTTGCAAAACTCAAAACAAACATGGCGGCGCGAGGCCTAATTTGTAAAACTTTGTTTCCGCCAAGTTTAGTAGGCTTTTTGCGTTATCGATATCAGGTATCTTTACCTTCGAAAACATCCATCCTTCAGGCAGTTTCAAAGGAAAGACATTATTTTAAACCACTGTGCTGGGACGTAAACGAAAGTTGTGATGTTGAGGTTAAGATCGATTGCACTGGCTATCAATCTAAAAAACAACAGGAGAAAAACTACTCTTCAGTTTTTCTTCGTTCTTTCTACTTGGCCAGTCTCACCTTCGGGTATTTATGGAACTCTTCTTCTACCGCTTATGCTGATAACGACAACAGTGAAAAGGAAGACGCTATTCGCGTCTATTTGTGTGGAATTGCTGTCTTACTGATCAGCGGACCGTCTTCACGCGTGCGCAAAGTGCGATCTTGCAAAGTCGAGATTTTAATTTGCGCGTAGAACGCGGGCGAAAAATTTCTTATCCACGAAGATAATATCTCACGTACTGATCCGGCGACCCTACATTTTTAATGCAAAAAATTATTCAACAGCAAAATCGGAATGTATCAGTGTGCGAAATTGTAAAAAAACTGTGGAGTGGAATTTTTCCCAGTTGGAAATTCCATTTTTGTTAATTTAAGAACAATCTGCTACACAGAACGTTTTATAATGTTGCCTGTTTCTTCTTCTGTGTGTAATAAAAATATTTTTTTTATAAAAATATATATGGGGTCACCGGCTTAGTGTTTAAGATAGATGCAATTGATGGTAAAAAAAGTAAGGTTTGTTGCTATGCAACGGAACAGTGCAACCTTAATTTATGACTTAAACACAATGAAAGGAACAGGGGAGGGCTACCTTAAAAAATAGCACAGCCATTCAAAACAAAACAGTTCCAAGCCTGAAAAATCGCTCCTAGTTCTTAAAGTCTCAAAGAAAACGGAAAACTGTTTTGAGCCACCTTAAAATGCTAATGTACAAGAGTATATTTGATTTTGATTTCATTTGCTTCCAGACCAGGGAATTTGATTTTCAGTTAATACTGCAACCAAGTGCATGCTCATATTTTATAATGTTACACTGGGGATTGCATTATATTTTAAACAAGTAGCAATGCAATGGAAGGGTGGAAGGGGGAGGGGTAGCTGACAACAAAAGCTCTTGTACTTTAGTCCTTGTAACTTTCTTTTGCAGGTTGCAAAGACACCAAAGACTATTGTGCTGCTAATAAATATTTTTGCAATAAAATGCCCAGCTTTAGCAAGGATTGCCCCAAAACATGCAGCGTTTGTAAGTATTTCATTGACGCCCGTGAATATTTGATATCTGTTTTCTAGGAAAGCTACCATTCTATAACTAAGTACTAAGTTTTTTATACCACGTTTCAGTCTCGAAAGCTGATGAACAGTGAATTTAAAGAACTTTTCAATCCTCCATTTAAATCTGCGGAAAGTTTCGCCTTTTTCTAACCTTTATTTACTTTCTCTATACCGTAGGTTGAAGTTTAAGTGCAGAAGAAATGTCAAGTTTGATTTGATAATACATCCTGTATCCTGGCCAGTGATGTAAAACATTCTCCTTAATAAAGCATGATTATTAATTAAACCAGCAACCTGACGTCGTTGTTTGTGTTCACATTAGGGACCAGTGAAAAGGAAAACGCGTTGTGGGACCAGCACTATATTTAGCCGTAACCCATCCTTCTTTCATTTCAGAACAGTATCTATTATCCATCAAATATTTCCGCCCGCGTGTAATTGGTCCAAACGCGTCACGTGACTGTACATGCCCCAGCCAAAACTGGGGAATATCCAAGTGTTTTTCCTAATTTTCAAAACCGCGCGTGTTGCGAAAAATATTTGAAGGATAAGATGCACGATCTAATCCAGTTAGGAGTAGAAATACTCTGAGTCGCTTCATGTTACTTAACCAGATAAGCGCCATCCCGATGAGCCATGTGGCTCGTATGCAGACGTTATACCATATAACAGTTTATTATTAAATTCTCAACCTCGGATAATGTAATTCTAGCTTTCTGATTGGTTCACTGGATCTCGGTTACCAGCCATTATACGTGCGTTTGACCTTA